CGACAAGAGTTCAAATCAAACTTAACAAATGGGTTTCGTGATGTGAATGAAATACGTTTTTTTTTTTGCATTTATCAATCTCTATTCATTACAATGAAATAAGAAAAAGAGGAACCATGCTATTATATTCTGTTAAACCCACAGCCATAGAATGATTAACGAGTAAAGACGGATATTAATGTACGTTTGTATTCAGCAAACTTCTTCCTCTCCATGTTGTATATTACGTTACAAGTTCACGGTTATCATCATTATTAATCTGTCTGTGCTCTCATCAAATTGTACCGAAGTAGATGCTTCGAGTGTTTTAATTATTAATTTCTTAATTTGTGATAACTGTTTATGTTTGTTCATTTCGTCCAATAGGAAAACATTAAAAAAAGCGATTGTGTTATCAGTATTTGTTCTTTTAAGCACGATAATAATTTGAGACTGTGGGAAAGCTAAATATGATAGATGTATGACTGTCAATTAGATGGACAGTTTCATCTCTTAGTAAACGCCGAAAAAAACGCTCGATTAAACGTTCGATTGAATATTATTTCTACTTTCCGACTGAATAATATTTAACCGAACGCTATATATTTATATATGTCAATGAAGGAGTGTATTCTTCAGCCGTGACAAGACGCGAAATTGTGCATCAAATTGCACAAATATTGCCATTGTTCAGTTGATCTTTCTACAGAATAATTTCGTGGAAAATAGAGGAAACGTATTTGTTCCTACAATCGCGCCCACCTGTGCATTCAACATGATTTTTCTTAATTGTATTCAGCTTTATATCATTTATACTAATAATAAAATCACAAATTAACGTACAAATGTACTCGTGATTCTTATTTTTCACGATAGTGACAGCAGCTGTTTTTAGGCGAACGTTAAGTTAGAATAAGTTTTTTGATAGAATTAAAAGAATCGAAAAAATTTAAACGGGCAAACTGTTCGTATTTATCTACATAAATCGGTTAAATACTTGTAGCCGGTTTATAGGGAAAAATTTCCTTCTCTTTATATAAGAACACTATTTTATCACATTGAACAGATGCACTTTCACGTGAATTATTAAGAGTCGATAGATATTTTCAATGTTAGTTCAATTTTATAATAAAATTCATCAATTTAAAAATGTATTCTGCCAATAAAATTGTCTTGTTTCGTCAGTTTTGTATGTACAGTTAATTACCTCCATTTTAAGAATTTCTATTCTAAATAAACTATTTCCCCTTTTTAAATGATTTATTTCCTCTCTTACATCTCTTGCGTCTTTTACTATTTAAATGAGACAGTGAAATAATTTTTATTGAAATGTTATTGAAATAAAAGGATTGAAGGAAAAAAATTTTAGAATAAGGACATGGCTCAATTCCTTAGAATAAAAAAATTGAGTGTATTTTTTTATTAAAAATTTGATTCGCTGAATTTTTAAAAAATTTAGATATATGTATAAAGATATTTATATATAAAAAGATTTGTTTATCTCATTAAACATATATAAGTCATTAACTTTCACAAATCGAATTGATTTTTTTACTATTCCTTCAGTTTTTGAGTTAGAAATCTTAAATATGTGCCATCTTGAGAAAAATCTGAGACTAGTTTGGATTTTTAAAGATTAAATTTCACTGAAGATCATTTTATTGAAGTTTTATTAATATCTCTGTACATACAATACATATACAAAGGTCCTTCGCATATATTAAAAGGTAACATGGAAATTAGTATAAAAGTTCTTTGATATATCGTAACACGCGCGTCACATTTACGTAATGTTGCGTTATTTCGATGGTACAATTATTCTATTCGCTTTACGATATTATGATGAAATAAAAAATGATCATCTCTGCACCCGTATGAAATAAATATTAGGAACTAAGCTGGGCAACATTTCGCATTCATGATACGAATCTGTAATATTTCATATTCTAAAAATGAATTGACTCTGCACCAATATACAGGGTGTCTCCAAGTTTTGGTTTCGCCCGTCCTGAGCAGGTAGAGCGGATTAAAGTATAGTAGATCGGGTGGACGCGCTTATTCGGTTATCTTTGAATATTGATATCTCGTGCGATTAACTATTGCGAGCATTGCGAAATGGTAGACGACTTTTCGACACAATTTAGTTCGCTCTAGGACAGATAGGGCTGAAATTGGATGCCATCCTGTATATATATATATATATATATTGTATATATACAGGATGTCTCAGAAATAGGATAGGAGCCGCATTGGAGGCATAGAATGAGTGTCAAGGGGAACAAAAGTTTGATATCATTTTAAGATATTCGGTGTAGTTTTCGAATTAAAAAAGAAAACATAAGTCAATGTGCGCTGGACCCACGTTGCGCGAATTCGTAGCACGGCCCATTGCGCCTCACTCGACAGCGGCGGCGCGCCATCGCGAGTGAGGCGCGATGAGTCGTTACTACAGTTTTCTTTTTTAATTCGAAAACTACAGTGAATATCTCAAAATAGTATCAAACTTTTTTGTTCCCCTTGACTCATTCTATACCCTCAATGCGGCTCCTACTTTATTTCTGAGACACCCTGTGTATTGTGTGTGTGTGTGTGTGTGTGTGTGTG